CTCCTTGTGTGTAAATGAGCAACTGTTACAAATAACGTAGTTAAGTTTGTTTTAAAAAAAAATATTTCTTGCACGAAGAACCCAGAAGGACCAAAAGGATAATTGGAATTCGTTATTGCGACGAAAATGATAATGTCGGCTTTTTGGAAGCTTGTTCGACCAGCCAGGGCTCTGAAGGGGTTGGATCCACGCATTTGCGCATATTTCGTGGAAATATCGTGGCCCTTTCGTGGGGCCGTTGTACATCGTAGCCATTAACGCACGATAATATCGGCCGGTCATACTTGCTACAAGCTTTCTCGCTTTCCCATTATCGCGGCATCATCTGCGGGTTGGCAAACTGCAACGGAACCAAATTCGATGCATTAATTATATTCTTTCGAATAATTTAAACGCAGGCCCGTTAAAGCGACACTGGCATATTTTATGGACGTTCGGTTGACCGCGAGGGGTCGAAATGAAATTTACGGTCGCCCCGGTGATGTCACGGAGAAAGTCGATCAGCCAAAATTAAACGCGCACGTCTTAAACTCGATAATCATTACGCGAGAAATCTACGGTCGCAGAGTTTGATCGGATTGAAATTTGTATTATTATCTTCGTTTAGAAAAAAAATATCCACAGCGTGTCCCAGTTTCCAGATTCGCTTCGTATCGCGGTAAGAATCAGTCAGCGTCCATTCCGTACTTTCTGCGGCAACAATTAAAGTTCCCCCGTCTGAAACTCGCGAGAAGAACGCTTCTTCTCCACGGAAAACTTTAAACGTTATGAACCAGCCACGGCGATACTCCTTTCGGAAACTCGCCGCGTTATACTTTCTCGTGGTAGATGATTTGAAAGAGTACCGGAACTGTTGTGTTCCCATTTCGTTTAAAAACCTCCGGCACTGATAGGCTGAGTAAGATCAACTCGAATGGAAAGAGTGCTGCAACAGTCTCGTTCCATTGAAATTACGTTTATTCGTGGCACGCACCGCTCGGCCTCGTTCGCTATTGTTCTTGTGTCCGGAAGTTCCACTTCGTTCGATCTAAAAAAAGAAAAAAAAGAAGAAGAAAGGAAAACCATTAAAATCGTGTGCGCTTCTGTAAAATTTCCTGTCGCCGTGTTACATGCTCGTCGAAGTGCCTGTCGCTCCTGAAGCTGGAACGAATTCGATATTTCATTCGACAACTGGGTCGTCCAGCTGTTCAAGAGAGTTTAACGCTCTTCGTCAGGATAAACCGCAGAACCGTATGACGCGTTATCCTAATTAATTAACCATCCGGTTGACGTTGATGCTCCAGCAGCGACTCCTTGCTAATCTTGCTGTTGTTTAGACAAAACGATCGAATAAATATAATTTTTTAATTATTTCAGGATCTTTTGGTACGTTTAAAATAACTCGACGAGCGTTTATTAGATGCGTAGATGTGAATATTATGCCAAGATCACGAACTGTGGATAATCTTGGAGGAGAAATAGACAGATAGATACTATTCATAACGAGATCTGTAAGATGATAGACATTAAAAGTATTTATAAACACAAATCAGAACCGAGTTTGGTAATTTGGAACGGTTAAGTCGCATTTTGTTGGCCTCTTCGACTTACGGAATCTCGACACGCTGGAATCGGGATAACCAGGTAGCAGGCACGATTTAATTAAGATACGGAACAATCCAGGCCGAAGAAGTCGGTCAGGTTCGATGGAAATATCGGAAAATATGAGGATTATGCCGAGCTCGGCTTCGTCATCGTCTCTGTAGTCTCCGCCGTTAGCTGGCAGCCGTTACTGGCACCGCATAATAATAACTGACATTCCCAAGATCGCGATGCAAATACCGTGGCGATAATTAAACACAGGCTGATGAAACCTGGCCGGGAAAAGAAGCGTGTCTGCGCGGACGTTTCGATCAAAACGGAGGGAAACAGCCTGGAACGCTTTGAACCTTTAATCGTTACAGGGATTCCACCCCTTTAGTAATATTTTGGGCTGCAACAGACTATAGCTCCGGTCGTAGCAACCGTGTTATAGGAAATATTATTTATTTATTCACGGTAGAACCCTTTACTACGAAAAGAAGTAATATGTAAGGAAAACGAAATGAAAATTATTGTCTCGTCAGAGCACAATACAGAACTTTGAGTATATCTGTGTCGTTGAAGAATTTGGAAGCTCTATGAACGAGCCCCAGAGAGCTGAGGCTATATGAAATAATTTTTTCATAATGGTCTTTGAAAGATAAATTAGAAGAGAAAGTATTACCAATGTCTTTAACACGATTCAGTTAGTAAAATATCATTTGGAGTATAGTTATAAATTATTTTTCTTATCTGACAATATGACATTTATCTAGAGAGGCAATTTATTTAACGAGCACCATTCCTGAAGCTGATTATAGATAAATCTTAAGATCGTCGAATAATATTAGCACAAAATTAATTTTCAAATAAGAATAGCTCAGAGAGTCTTTTTGCTATTCGTAATTTTAGAAACAAAATTAAGTTCCAGAATCCAAGTTTCATCTGCAAAAACTGAACACAAATCCTTTTTTCAACGAGGTTCGAAAATTTTTGGACGAAAGGTTGGACTATTTCCAGCGAGAAAATTTGCCGCGTCCTAAATTGATATAGCGAGAGTCAGCAACAACGTTAGTAACTTTCGCTTAGAAGTTCTGACTATCAAAAGCACGACAAATTGATGCGTTTTAAACTAATAACGGGAAAGTTCTGCAACAACGTTTGCCAGTTTTGCCTGTGACATGGGACGCATTTCGACTAATGGGAATGGCGTCCAATCCTTTGTCAGTCTTCTCACTGTCGATGGGATCTATCTGCATCGACAGCCGTTGATACTTTATTGTGCCCTTGACAGGTTGCCCGCGTTTTCTCTGTTCGAAACAAATGCGTGGGTGAAAAGTCGGAGACGAGCAAAATTTTTATCCTGACAATCATCCTGTAACAAAGGGTTTAACGAATATTTGCATTGTTTTCATCGATCGCTGAAGAATAGAAATCAATGTAAAATACCTTCTCCCAACTTCCTACGGTCAACAGCAAATTTAGTAATAATGTGAATACCTGAAAATATTCATGACAAAACGTTGCACTTAGAAAAGTGATAATTCAAGTTCCATTTTAAACATCCAACATTGTCAAATACGTGTTTTTTCAATTGCGCTTATTTTGAAGAGAAATAATCATACTTTTCGATGTTATCAACAATTGCTAATATTATCTTCTTCGAGAGGGAGTTTCATCCCTTACACACCGATTGAAATAAAAAGTAGATTTACTTTTCGACGAATATTAAAGACATCATGAAACTTACTATTCGACAATTTTTCAGCCGTTTTCCAACAACCCTAATTCGATGGCCACGTTAAGGTACCAGTCTGCAAATACTCCTCGATAAGCTGGTAGCTTATATTTATAATATAATCAAAATTCTTCAAGGGGGTGTTTCATTCCTTAGACATCGACTGAAATAAAATCGACCTAAGAAACAAGAAGTAGATTTATGTTTCGACGAATATTAACGCCATCCTGAAATTTTCTATTCGACAATTTTTCAGCCGTTTTCCAACAACCCTAATTCGATGGCCACGTTAAGGTACCAGTCTGCAAATACTCCTCGATAAGCTGGTAGCTTATATTTATAATATAATCAAAATTCTTCAAGGGGGAGTTTCATTCCTTAGACATCGACTGAAATAAAATCGACCTAAGAAACAAGAAGTAGATTTATGTTTCGACGAATATTAACGCCATCATGAAATTTTCTATTCGACTATTTTTCAGCCGTTTTTCAACAACCCTAATTCGATGGCCACATTGCGCACCAGCGTGCAAATTCTCCGCGATTAAGCTGGTAGTTTATGATCATAACTGGCATTCGCGCGATCGCAATGCAAATATCACGGCGATAATTAAACACAGCGGCGCTGATGAAACGTGCCCAGAAAAAGAAGCGCGTTCCGCATGAATGTTTCGGTCAACGGGAGAGAAACAGCGAGGAGCGCTTTGAACCTTTAATCATTACGAACCCGCCGGCGGTCGCGAAAAAGATAAATTCACCGCGGCGGGATGAAACTGGCAGCGCGCACGAATGCGTAATATCGTGTTTTATAAACCCTTTAATTGCCTCGTTCGGACACGTACGTCCAGCGTAAAGTCTGTTTTATTTATCCGTACGTATCCGATGTCACGTTCCCGGAGGCGTGCGAAATTGCGATGATTAAAATATACTTGCCCGGACCGCCGCCTGGTTTCCCGAGCACTCTTTTCTTTCGTCCGTTCTTTCTACTCTGTTTCATTAACCCGGAAGGAGCTCTGCACGCGCGGAGATAACGAATAGAGGCTTTTCAGAATTTGTTTAATTAAATTCTCGCGGAATATATACGATACGCGCGCGCGATTACCGCCCTTTATTATTTCTTCGCCCGCGTCGATCGCGCGTTTACTCGGTCTATTACTCGGTTAGGCATCAAAACACAATCGTATTTTGTAAATTTATTAAAATATAAATAGAAAACTTGATTTAGAAAATATTCCTTTTTTTCGTTTTTATATTTTTTCAATCGAAAGTCTCTGAAAAAGTTGACCAAAAATCGTTATTTTTTAAATTTTATTTACTCATTATACGAGTGAGAACCCTAGTGTAGAAGAGAAAATATAATATAGAAATTTGAAACTTATAATTTAATTATAAATTGCGAGCCTGATGTTTGAACGAGGAAATTTTGTACGAGTTGTTTGTGTTCGGAGGCTGTTATTGCGAGTTTTATCGAAACTACTTAAATATTACCACGACCGGGATCGATTCGATGCTTTCGACAATGAACACCGGCGCCATTAGTATCCCCCGTTCCTGATCAAAGCGGGCATACCTTCACGAGATTAGCGCGAACTTGCATTTTGGCTTTGTATCACGACAGGGAGGATACAGACGTTACGTTCGAAGACAGGCTGCCACAATAGTTTGCAACGTTATACATATAATTAATTCCCCGTTGTTCCAGTCGGCGCCATGTACGTGTGCATGCTGTACGCCATTCTGTTCCTGAAGCTATGGTCGTACGTGCAAGTCAACATGTGGTGTCGATTGTGCAGCAGAAGAAAACCGACGATCCAAGGGAGGATACGACGCCAGTCTCTATCGTACAATAATCTTCAATGTGAGTAGATAATATTTATACAATTTTTTCAAGGAACCGCGCAAATATTACTCTCCAATATTAAAGAGAGTAAATATTAGGTTGGGGAAAAAGAAATCCATTATTTTGTCGGTAGATGTCTGTAGTGATCGATATCTCGTAAAGTATCGATCAAACAATTTTAGATTTATGCTCTTTGCAAGGTGACATTTCACACTAAAAAATTTCTTTTGTTGTTTTTTATTTGGTCTATTCAGTTGTGAGTTACAGGGTGTTAAAAATGGAAGTCAAGAAAAAGAAAATTCAGTACATTTTATAGTTTTTCGTTGATAAAGGCGAAAATGCAAGCCAGGCGGCTGAAATTTTAAATAATGTTTATGGTGGTATTTTTGATGCTAAAGATGCACCTCGCACAGGCAGGTCCGTCGTCGAAAATGTCGATAAAATTACAGAAATAATCGAAGTTGACTGACATGTTAGTAGTTGTAGCATTACCCAGGAGCTAAAGATCGACCATAAAACAGTTTTAAACCATTTGCACAAAGCTGGATTCAAAAAGAAGCTCGATGTTTGGGTGCTACACCAATTAACACCAAAAAACATGATGGATTGAATTTCCATCTGCGAAGCCTTAGTCAAACGGAATGAAATCGACCCATTTCTTAAACGGATGGTGACTGGGGATGAAAAATGGGTCACATATGACAATATTGTGCGAAAACGATCGTGGTCAAAGCGCGGTGAAGCAGCTCAAACGGTGGCCAAACCAGGACTAACGGCCAGGAAGGTTCTGCTATGCATTTGGTGGGACTGGAAAGGAATCATTTATTATGAGTTCCTTCCATATGGCCCAACACTAAATTCCAATCTCTACTGTCAACAACTGGACCGTTTGAAGCTAGCGATTGACCAGAAACGGCCAGAATTGGCCAACAGAAGAGGTGTTGTGTTCCAGCAGGACAACGCTAGGCCACACGCGTCTGTAGTGACTCGCCAGAAACTCCGGGAGCTTGGTTGAGAAGTTTTAATGCATCCACCATATAGTCCGGACCTGGCATCAAGTGATTACCATCTTTTTCTCGCATTGCAAAACTACCTGAGTGATAAGAAATTGGCATCAAGAGAATATTGTGAAAATCGGTTACTAGAGTTTTTCGCCAATAAGGACCAAGATTTCTATGAGAGAGGCATTATAAAGCTACCTTTAAAATGGCAATAAATTATAGAATAAAACGGCGCATATTTGACCCAAATCGGAAAATCCGAAACATGTTAAATAAAGTCTTGAAGTTCACGCAAAAATAATGGATTTCTTTTTCCCCAACCTAATATGTAATTTATATCGATGAACGAAACGAGGATTGCGTGGACCTTTTAAAATTCATAAAACCCATCTGTTTAATTTTTCCTATATGTTCGATCGAACTCAACGACACAAATCATGCGTTTGTATCGCGTATGGAATCGATGGCGACGAGTTCACGCACTTTCAGTGCGTGTTCGTTGTCGTTGAAATCCCCTCGGTCGCCATTGAAGCGCCCGGGACATATAATTATCGCCGTAAACTTCCCTCGACGTTCGAATCGTTTGGGCGATTGTTTTACCAAGCTTAGGAAAGGATTTAATATTTGCTCTTCGCTGCGTCGCGTTTTCGCGACGAACTCCGGCCAAAGTGCATTGAAATATTAATAGCTTTCGAATGTGTTGGTTCGGATTTTCGAAACTTTAACGGTACAGTAATGATTCTTAAAATGAGCATCGCTCCGGGGTTGCCATGGCCATTTTTCGTACAGGAGCCTGTTATCTTTGATGCTTCACTAACTGCAAGGAGGATTCCTCCAGTTGGGAAGGATAGAAATGCTCAACTTACGAATCACGTTCATTTTAAGAATCTTGCACTGTCTACACTTCGATTCATAAACGTGTAATAACAAAGGGGACGATTAAATGTTGAAGTCTACAATTGGTGTACATTGCATAAACGTTGAATCGCGTCTAGTGTTCATTTTACGAATCATTACTGTATATTCAATTCGTAAACGTATAACAACACGAAGGACGATTCGATAGGAAAGTCTGCAGTTTCTATGTACAATGTATCACACGATTGCATAAATTTTGAATCGCGTCTGGAGTTCACTTTAAGAATTATTACTGTAGACGGTTTGTACGTAAGATTATCGATGTAAAATAACGCTTACAGCATCGGTAACAGAAATTCAATCCGGTGATTTATCGGATATACTGCGTATTTCCGGTCGCGTTCGAGAACACACTACGTACGAGTTTATCGTCGCATAATAACGCTCGGGGAACGCGTTCGTTTCGCCCGGCGACGTCAATTTATCGCTGCGAATGCACGGGAAACGTTATTTTCCAATGCATGTAACGAGCGCAGGAGTATTTTCGATACACGTATTACGCATTCCCTTTACATCGTTCCGTGCTTTAGCGCGGCGTCCTCTAATTTAGCACGAATCCTGAAAAATGTCACCCAGGGACGACTGTACGATATTTTTCCCGGATCCCGTCCTATGACGTTGCTACGCGCTTCGCGAATATTTCTGGTAAACGATCCTGTCCCGTGTATTGCGTTTAACAATGAAAGAATACCGTGTTTCCTGTTGTAAAAAATTGACCGAACTTCCCGTTAAAAAATTATTATCATTTATTGAGGGATAAAAATCATGCGGCGCGCGTAAATTCATTCGTTGGTAATAACAACGTACTGTATTTCGAATTAAATGCGATACAAACGAATCGGCTCGGGATAAAAATCGGCGACCAAAATATGCTGCGAATCGTATCTATATGTGGGCGTTTATTTTGAAAAATTTTTAAGCATCCTAGAATCAAAATTAAAATCAAATTTATAGAGAAAACAGTTAAACTACTATTGTTCGCTATAATTCTGTACAGTATCTCCGTTCTCTAAGTCTGCCTTTTGATAATAATCGATCCTCATCTATTTTTGGTCGTAAGTTTTCATATCAATTAGAAGTAAATAGTTGTTGGCCACCTACCAGTGACTATTATACTTTTTTAGAAATGTTTATGTTGATTTTATTTTCAAATATACTAAATTAAAATTAACATTTCATGATTTAAGTGGCACTGTACCTCAAACTTTAATGGGTACCATGGGTGAAAATTGACTAAATTTTACTGTATTTTATTTTCAAGTTTACTAAATTAAAATTAATATTTCATAATTTAAGTGACATCCTTTCTCAATCTTTAATGGGTACCATGAATGAAAATTGACATTTGCTTTATCTCTATGATGTATCGTTTTTTCAGTTAAATTATACTATATTTTATTTTCAAGTTTGCTAAATTAAAATTAATATTTCATAATTTAAGTGGCATCCTTTCTTAATCCTTAATGGTTACCGCGAATGAAAATTGACTCTCGCTTTATCTTTATGATGTACCGTTAAATTTTATTGAATTTAATTTTCAGATGAACTTGTGTTTCAAAGAGAATATAATTTTCATTTTATTTCCAATACTAAAATTATAGTGTGTGGATGAAAATTCACCTATACTACCATTAGTGTAACAGTAAAATATCGTACACCAATTAAGGGTGGATCAATCACTGTTTACCCCACTGGTTGCCCATAAAATTTCACTTAGCTTTTGTCCATCGACGAACGTAATCAAGGAAAAAGAAGTTGTTGGCCTTATCCGAGTCGCCAACAATTGCAACGAGGCGGAACGCGCGAAAGAAATCTGAGATTGCTCGAAATCCACGTCGAATCGCAGTAAAGGAGGGGGCGTTTAATAAATTCGTTCGTCCGGACAAGAAGACAGATCGTAAATATTCGTCTCGCGCGTTAGACACTGACAAGCATGTTCTCGCTCGCAATGTACACGCGTCCTTTGAGCCGGTAATCCACTTGCCCGTGTACGAGGTATTTGTTCTGTACCTAAAGGTGCATACACACTGTCGCGGCTGGCCACGACGCGTGTGCACGCCCCTCGACCTCCGCCGCGGTAGAAGAGGCGAATAATTTCCACCCAATTTAAACTCCCGATCAGCCTCGCCTCTGTTTCCGGATATGGGGTGCGCGGGGGTGCCGGGTGTATCGATTATTCAGACCTGGTAAAGTCAAATTATACGAGCGACCTTTCCCCAATAAACTCACCGCATTGAATATTAACGCTTCCAGTCTGCTCTCTTGCACCCGTGTCGAGAATCGTGTAGCGCTGCTAGGACCGCATGTATCATTCTGACGCGTTATGGCCCTCTTTCGTGCAGTGGAAATCTGTTATATAACACTTCTGGTTCCTTGGTGCCGTTTTAAAGGAGCCTCGAGGGCCGTAGAAAGTACTCGAGGAAAGATCAATCAGGGAATATGACTTTCCTCCGACGTTACTGGCATAAATACTCCGCTATCTCAAAGCTGTGCTCCCTGCACGTCGAGAATTCATAGCTCGGAATAACGGATCGCCAGTATTATTAATATACAATAATTGCATTCTATTAAATTCATTTCTGTATGGCTGCAGTATCGAAATAGTGTCAACACCCAAATGCTCGAAACGTTTCACAAGCGCCAGAACGCTAAATAACTCTGCATTAGAATAGGAACTGTCTAGTTCCCTATAGCACCAGTGCTTTTAGTTTGAAACGAGGCAAAGTCAAAGGGTTCAAATGTAAGCTTTGAGGGTTGGGCGCCGCAGAACAAGCTGTATTTTAACCAAACTGTCGGAAACAATTATTGAATATTCATACACGATCAACAAAGCCAATAGTAAAATCAAAATCCCTTTCTCAAGTTTCGGTTGGTCGGTGGGTCTCGTTTAATCTTCCTAAAGCTTGTACGATAACCTACTTTAAATTGACGATACAAGCGAAAAGGTTATGTGACGAGTTTTACTGCACACGCCACCAGAGGGCTACGTTGTTGTCTTTCTCACAAGTACTTAACCGTCCGTCTGTTCCTACATATCTCGATTGACCATTCGAACAGTCGTTTTCTTCGTTGATCTTTTTAAATCTTTTCTGCAATATT